AAGATAATGGAGAAGGCAACAATCTATCCAAAGCAGACTCAACTTGCTTGTAAGTGACCTCCCAAATAGTTCGGAAGGCTGCATTGACTGTTAGAGTTCCATATGAAATCCTAAGTTTCTTCCTATGAAATTTTCAGGGGTAGTGTCATAGAGCGGGAAGGAATGTTTTGTAGCCAAGAGCTCAAGGCTAGCAGTTAAGGGATGGGGAATGGAGGACATCACGGGTTATTTGAAAGGCTTACCAACTGCATCGTATGTTTACACCAAGGAAAAGGTTGAGTGAGTGCAGGTGGCAGGGCTTAGTGTAGAAATAGTAGCGCCTGTACCTAGTGCCAGAAACTGACAAGGTTGCCATCTGTATAGGTAGAACTGAATCCCCCTAAAACATATGTTCAAGTCTTCACTGGTGGAATGTAAGGTTTATAGATGTTAGATCAAGTTAAAATAAGGTCATACTGGATTTGGATGGGCCCTCATCCAAACACTGGTGTCCTTAGAAGAGAGAAATTTAGACACAGGGAAGACAGGGAAGAGAACCTGATGTGAAGACAGAGGCAGGGACTGGAGTGATACAGTGACAAGCCAAGGATTGTTGTCAACCAACCAGGAGCTAGGAAGAGGCCATGAGGGATCCATCCCTCCAGCTTTCAGACAAGCATGGCCCTGCTGACACCTTGATTTCAGATTTCTGTTATCCAGAATTGTAAGGGAATAAATTCTATGGTTTTATGTCACACAGTTTGTGGTAATTTGTAACAGCATCCCTAGGAAACTAACACACCATCTGTACATATGTTAATGCACCTTGAGTGCTTAAAAGTATTGAGGATATTGGCGCTTTTCCCTTCCTCAGAGCAGCTCATTGATCTGAAGGGTTTTTCTTTTCCTCTTGGTTTTTCTTTTGTAAGATGAGATGATCTTTTCCAGAGCCTCTTCTGTTTATAATACCTACAAGGGCACCTGTCAATAGCTGCCTGGTATGGGAGTGGGTCTACACCTAGCTGTTTGATCTGCAGGGCCACAAATTTATTTTGGGTCCTGTCATCTTTTTGTTCTAAATCCCTTTCCAAATGTCTGCCATGTGTTTTAGTTCAGGTAGAAAGGTTATTTTCCATTCTAATTTCTGTTTTCAAATTAAGTTTTCAATTTTAAGTTTAACCCCTAGACAAAACGAGAGGAAAGGGCTGCTTCCTAGACTCCCAAATCCTCCGATGTATTTTCTAGCCTTCAACCAAAATCTCTTACAGATTCATCTTTTTTTCTGTTTTCATGATTTAATTAGGGTCCAATTTTTTTTTTTTCAGAAATGTTTTATACATGGCTTTTAGGAGACTTTGCTTTATGTTTTGAGCCTTTTTGTGGACTCTCAGGTTTATTGTGGAGAGCGGAATCCTAGAGGTCCCTTTCCTGGTGAGTCCAGTTTGCTTTTGTCATTCAGGATTTAGCATTTGAGGTACTCATGAACATGTGTACAAGTTGGCAGGCAACCCTGTATGGCCCCCAAAATATTTTTCCCCCAAATAGTCTTTTTTTTTTTTTTGAGACAGAGTTTTGCTATGTTGTCCTCGGTAGAGTGCTGCGGCATCACAGCTTACAGCAACCTCCAGCTCTTGGGCTTAAGCCATACTCTTGCCTCAGCCTCCCAAGTAGCTGGGACTACAGGCACCTGCCACAGACCCAGCTATTTTTTATTGCAATTGTCATTGTTGTTTAGCTGGCCAGGGCTGGATTTTAACCCGCCAGCCTCAGTGTATGTGGCCGGCACCATAACCACTGTGCTATGGTCGCCAAGCCATTTTTTTTTTTTTTTTGAGACAGAGCCTCAAGCTATTGCCCTGGATAGAGTGCCTTGGCATCATACTTCACAGCAGCCTCAAACTTGGGCTCAAGTGATCTCAGTTTTTCTATTTTTAGTAGAGACGAGGGTCTCGTTTTTGCTCAGGCTGGTCTCAAACTGGTGAGCTCAAGCTATCCACCTGCCTGGGCCTCCCAGAGAGCTAGGATTACAGGTCTGAGCCACTGCACCTAGCCTCCCCCCAGTATTCTTGATTATTCTATAAATAGTGTTGATCTTGTATGAGTTCTTAATTCAGCTTGGGTCTAAGGTGTTTATGAAGGGCCCTGGCATTTTCGGGTCTTAGGAGGGTTACTGGGAAAGGGTAGAGATGTGAATAGGGGAAGAGAGGGAGGAATGGACAGATGTGTGGAAGGAGAGAGGTAGAAAAGGTAAGAGAGAAGAGGGAGAGCAGGATTTGGGGGCGCAAGTAGAGGACAAATGGGAGGACTTACTAGGAACATGAGTCCAGTTCATTGTTGCTTAAATTTTGCCAAATTGCTCATTAGCTTTGGCCAAAGAATCTTTTAGGGAAGCAATTTTTTTTTCTTTTTTTGCAGTTTTTGGCCAGGGCTGGGTTTGAACCCTCCACGTCCAGTATATAGGGCTGGCACCCTACTCCTTTGAGCCACAGGAGCTGCCCAGGGATGCAATTTTTGAATCAGAATTTGATTTAGAGTCCTCTGATTACAAAAAAATGCTGCCCATTTGGGCCTAAAAAGACTTATTCTTTTCTTTTCTAAGGCATCTCTCAAATGTTCAAGTTAAATGTTCCTCTAAGTAAATCTCCACCAAATCATCCTCAAAAGTAATGCTTTCAGAAATGGCACAAGGATTGGGATTGTAAAGACAGTACACATAAGAAGCTGGAGTTTTATCCTGGATGAGGAGAGGATTTCAATTCAGTTACCACCATGTGAGCTGGCTCCTTATGCTGGGTAGGAATGTAATATGTGTCTCTTGGGATGGAAAATTAAGATGGAAGGAAAACCTCATCCAGTTTTCTTCACGATCCACAGCAAAGTTTGTTCACGTAGACACTGGTCCCATGAGAACTTCTTGCTCACAGGCCTGTGAGGCCAGCTAAACAACAGACTAGTAAGGCCTAAGTCTGTGTTCCATGCTATCATTTTCCTTTTATGACCAAAAAACTTCTAGATAGCACAGCACAAAACAGTAACACAAGAGACAGCAAAAAGGGATGAATATAAAATGTCTTGATTCTACCAGACATCCCAAAGAAGTGGGAATCAATATAAAAACCCAGGTACCTGGGAATGATGCCTTAAAAAAAACAACTATTAATCTTTCCCACTAAAGTACCTGGGAATAAATAGCTAGGGAACTCAGTGCACAGACAGAAAGTTCAGACCCAGTTCTGACTTATCCATACTGGTGTGGACTCGATAAGCCAAGGGCCCCTGGGTATCACCACTAGAGGAAGGCTGGAGACCTCCATGACAAGTGGTACAGGTTACATCTTAGTGCCAGCAGGAAAACTGTGGAAAATAGAGGCCACCCAGATAAGACCAGGCAAAAGCTATTTATTCAGAACCTGCTATACAAGGGAGTCAGCTAGCATCACTTGCTTTTGGCAGAGACTCAAAGGCAGGCAGGACAATGGGAAAGATTAATAGTTGTCTTTTTTTTTTTTGGCCAGGGCCAGCTTTGAACCACCTCTGGCATATGGGGCCAGTGCCCTACTCCTTTGAGCCACAGGTACCACCAATAGTTGTCTTTTTTTAAGGCATCAAAATGGAGATTGTTGGATTTTTTTTTTTAAGTATGTTTTTCTGGCTAGGCATGGTGGATCACATGTTTTTCTGCTAGGCATACAGGATCACACCTGTAATCCTGGCACTCTGGGAGGCCCAGGTGAAGGATTGCTTGAACTCAGGAATTCCAGATCAGCATGAGTAAGAGTGAGAACCCCATCTCTTCTTAAAAAATAAAATAAAATAAAATAGAAAAATTAGCTAGGCATGGTGGCATGTACCCATAATCCCAGTTACTTGGGAGGCTGAGTCAGGAGGATTGCTTGAGCCCAAGAGTTTGAGGTTACCTAGAGTTTGTGATGCCACTGCACTCTAGCCCAAGCCACAGAGTGAGACCCTGTTTTTCAGTTTTCTCCGCTATAACCTGAGGACCAGACCTGCTCTAGGTTTTAGGAGTACCAGCAGGATTCAAAGAAAGTGCTGGCAGAAACTGTCTGCGCCAGGGTTGGTTGGCACGTTGATCAGTAAGGAGGCAGGATAAAGGGAGGAAAAACCCTTTTTTCAGGTCAGTAGGGCAAGTGAAGGAAAGAAGAAAACGCTTGGCGAAGGGTTGGTGTCTCTACCATGCATTGCAGCACGTTAGGAGATGAGGTGGTTTTGAATTTGGTTAGTGGAGATACAGTCTTATCTTTGCGGAGGGCTTACTAACATTCATTCGTTCCCCCTTCCATGGGGACGCAGTGAACCTGGCGCTGCCCGACATGCTCTCACTTGCCCAGAGTACTTGGGGTATGAGGGTGGACAAAGTGTCTTGGGGATGCTCCTGGAACAATCAAATGAATAGAGGGCATGGGGGAAAGAGCTTCTCTTTTTTCCCCCCAGTCACTGAAATCACACAGTATCTGACCTTGAAGACGTTTTCCAGAATGCCCACCTCAACTTCTTCATTTAACATGTGAGGAAACCCAGGTCCAAAAAAATGGACTGACCAGCCTAAAAGTCACAGGCAGCCCAGGGCTTCCTGGCTCGTACACCTCTGGATACCTGTCAGCCCTAACTCAGCACCCAGGGGGCGCACACAGCCCCCTCGGGCTCCCAAGACAAGGCCCTAGGGCAAGACCGCGCCGCCACCCCGCCCAGTCCCTCCTGCAGGGATGGCCACAAAGCCTGCAGCCGGGCTCTTTCCCCGCGGGCGCTGGCTCGGGCAGGAGTCTCGGCACTCCGCTAGTCTCCACAAATCGTTTCTGGGAGTAAACACACATATTTCTCAACAGATAGGTGTATAATCAATACGAATACGTTAGGTACCCCGAAGTCCTAACGCCGTGCCCGGGCGCGTGGAGAGGGCGGGGCCTGGCGGGGTGGGCGGGGCGCGCGGCAGCGGCCGCCTCATTTCCTCGTGCGCGCCGGAAGTGGCGGTTCTCGGCGCGGCAGCGCGCCCGGAGGGTGGGCGGCTGAGGCGCTAGTGCCGCCCGGTGTGCCCGCGGTCCGGGAGCAGGCGGTGGCGCAGCGGCCGCGGTTCGTAGAGCAGGCGAGTACGGTGAGTACCTGGCCGACACGGCCTTGCCCATCTGAGGTTCCCGCAGACTCGGTGCCTAACGGTGCGGGCGCCGGGGCTGCGGGTGCTGTCGGTGTCGGGTAGCCTCTCAGGCGAGTCCCTCGGGAACTCTGTCCCCGTGGGGTCGCCTCACGGACGAGCGCTTTGGGGGCCCTGGTCCCATGGGGCCGCCTTACGGATGAGCCTTCCGGAGTTCGCTCTGGTTTTAGGGAAAAGCTGCGGTTTTTTCTTTCTTTTTTTTTCTTCTGAGAACAGTGCTGCCAGAGACCGTTGGTTTGCGTGTCACTGTTTTTTTTTTTTTTTTAAACCAATTCACCACCCTCTCTCCTCTCAGTGGATAAACTTTTTAGTCAGCTGTTACCCCTTGATTGCTTTAAAATAGTTTTCTCTGACAGCAGCACCTTTTTATCTGACAGATACCAAAACGGACACTTTTAAAAGATGCTCGTTTGTGGAAGAATTAGTGGGACTGGGAGCCTCTGGCAGCTGTCAGAGAATGCATCTTGAAAATTACTTTATTCCTGAACCAATGGCTGAGCAGTAATCCATAAAGTACACTAGTTCTACTTCTATTTGTGATGATGGTATTGACATCATGACAATTTGACTATAATCCAATGAAGCTTTTCTTAAGTCCTGAATTGTTCAACTTAGAGTTGTTTTCTCCCTTGTTTTTGATGTATAAATGGATGTCATGACATTTCACTGTCATTCAAACTCACAGGAGCTGGGCCTTCATTTCTGGTGAAATTAATGTTCTTTAATATTGTATTAAAATAGTAGCTTTGATCTTGGAAATGAGAAATCAAATTGTCTTGTATCACTATTCTGCTACCATTTGTTTAAAATTGCGACCAAAAAAATGCAGAAAGGATGTTGGATTTCCGTTATGCATGGCTCAGAGAATTTTGACCTGAATAAGCATAGTTTTAGTTCCAGTTTGGAAGTTACATTTTTCTCTTTCTTAACTTTTTTTTTTTTTTTTTTTTTT